GGTTGTGGTCAGGACACAGTGGTTTCTCTCTGCTCCTCCTTCTTTCTCAACCCTTTTCCTCTGGTCCTTCACTGGTACTCCATGGGCTGCAGTCCCTCCAGGGAAGTACCTGCTCTGCCATGGAGCACCTCCCACTCCCCAGACCTTCTTATTCCCTCATTCCCTCCTCTATTCCCTCCTCCTCTGCCTGTCCAGCATTTCTGACCTTTCTTAAATACACTTTCCCAGAGATGCCACCATCTTATCTGAGGGTCTCAGCAGTGTCCTGCGGTCGGTCCGTTGGAGCCGACTGGAAGCGGCTGTACTCAGAGAACACTGAAGAACAAAACTGTTTGTTCTTAGATGTTATCTCTAAGCCAGTGATATTTAAAATACATTTAGTTTCAGTCTCGTTTTGAATGTGAAGGAGCTAGGACACATTAGAAAGAAATCCACAGTGACAGGTATAGGCAGCAGTGAGGTTGATGCGACCACACCGCTGATCACCAAGCAGCATTTTGAGCCCAGTGCTGTGTCAGCCTTTCCGTACAGCCTGTTGAGATGGGCATTACACCCTACTGAGGTATGTGCCAGGCTCTGGACCAGGGCTGGCTTGCATTTGACTGAGCTGAAAGGCAGGTGGTGTGAACCTATGACTATCTGCACTGTCTACACTAGCCTAGCAAAAATGTTTTGACTAAGGACATACCTAACGTTTGTGGCAGAGAAAAAAATAGAACTGATATATGTGATATTCTGTTTTATGCTTTGAGTACAAAGACTGGCTTTCCTCTTGTTAAAGTATTTTGATCTGGAGAAAGTGATTTAGAAGACAAGCTGTTTAATTAGTACACGGGCAGAGACAATCTGTTCTAAGAATAGTTGTTAGCATGGGAGAGGGCATAAAGTTAAGAGTAGGTGAAGGGGACAAAAGAAACGTTAAAGAAATGTGTTTTCTTTGGAGGAGTACTCCAAAACACAGAGCCTTGTGGAGAGATGAGGACAGCATGTACCATGAAGGCATATTATACTAGCACTAAAAATATGACATTGGTCATCTAGCCAAAAAGGTAAATGACTTGCTTGGAGTCTTGGGGATATTTGTCAGGAATTCAGAAAAGAAAATGTTTGGAAGATGGAGGAACCATCTGAGCTCACTGTGAAGCAGCAAATGTTCCAGTGCTATTTTTGGTTGAGTAGTACTGTATACTGGGGGAGTTTCTGTGAAATGGGAGGTGACACTACAAAATCTTGGAATAAGCGTATTTGAAATATGCTGATCATGGAAATATATATTTCATTTATTTAGCATTTAGTCTAGTCTGATATATGGCTGTAGCATCTTTTGATCCCGTATCTCCTACTCCCTTTTCGAAGGAATATGTGTCATCCCTGTGGTCTCAGCTTGGGAACTTAAGAACCTTGTTAGTCCTTTTGTTGGCAACAGTCAGGTCAGAACAATTGTGCCTGAGTTAATTCACCTGAAAAGCCATAAAAGACTCCAGTTCATCAGCTTTGATATGTAGGACCAGAGAGAGAGAAAAGGAAAAAAAAAAAAGGAAAGAAAAAAATAGAAAAAAAAAAGGATTTCTTTTAACTCCTGAAATTATTGGATAAGACCAGAACCAGTAAGACCCCCATGTATGTAATAGAAAATAAGGAAAAAGCAAGGTCACAATTACTGATGGAAAGGATGCATAAGTACTAAATTCCACTGTTAATGGTGTTTTCATGAGAATGTCTGTCCACCCCTCTTGGCACTAGAGCAGGTTGACAGTAGGTTGAATTAATACAAACAAGATGAAGTCAGTGATGTTGCCTGTTTAGCGCTTAGCCACCTAAAGAGTAAAATCAGCACCTTCATTAGTAAATGGAAATGACCCCTCATAGGTGGTTATCACAGAAAACTCTCCATTCTTTTCTTCTGAGATTCCTCCTTTAATCTTTTCCAGATTACCTCTAGGTGGATTTAAATTGAAGTCTCTCTCATTAGCAGGCACTAATTTATTTGTATTTTTTGAATATCTTACAAATTATCTGCTTCATCAATGTGGAGAGAACTTGTTGGTAAAACAAAACTAAAAAAAAAAAAAGGAAGTAGAAAATATCTCTTTTAAAAGTGTTTTCATTTAACTTAAACCGCTATGAGATGAACTACTTTTCCTGGAGAAAGGCCTCTCTTATTGTTTCATTTTGACACCTATAGAAAATTCTGTATTTATGCCACAAAATGGGCTCAGATTGCAAATACTATTTAAAAGAGAAGTTTGTATGAACCTTTTCAGATTTCTCAACATGTTATATATATTTATTTCTTTTAATAATGAGTTGCTACAGTGTAATACTGCAGTGATTTAGGCTAATCTAGTCTCGTCTTGATACAACTATGCCAAAACTGGAATGTAAAGGTTGCGTTTCCTTATTCCTGAGAACCTGGGCAGCACAAAATGATGTTCTTTGTTGTAAAATAGCAAGGCCAACTCCATCTGCAAAAAACCCCATGCAAACCAACCTTTTTGTAATGTGGTTACTACGATGTACATATTCCATAAATAATGACATTTATGCCTTAGCATTTTTTGGATCTGTAGCAGTTATACTCTACTGTGAATGTCCTCTGAATGCACGTCTAACTGTAAAAAGACCCCCCTTTTCACTTGTATTCTGAATTTCATGTGCTATTGTCCATTAAGTAATTCTACTTCTAAGTCTTGCTTTTGTGCTGTTTCAGTAGCTCTAAAAATGCTGCGCCTGATTCACCATTGCTTTCTGACTTCATTTGTACCAGTGGAAGAGTAAGGAAAAAATAGACCCTCAGCTGCTCCGCTTTTGTTCAAGTGACTGAGGTGCACAATAACCATAAGTCAGGCCTTTCTGCAGATCCTCTCATTAACGTTGTTATCATTTTTACTTAAAAAAACCAACCACCTTTGGCTGAATTTATCACTCATGAACAAGTGATGTCCTGAACATTTGGTACTGATTTGCAGGCCATTCTTTTCCACTCCTATCTGTACCACGAGACAAGACAATCCTGATACATATTGAAATGCATTTTAATGTTGCTATATGGGGACTGGAGGAAGGATTACTATGCATAACTTTGCTTTACTAGTAGTGCTTGGCAGCTCCAAAGTACTTTTTGTCCAAGGGTTCCCAGTACTATACAGCACTGCACGTGCCTCCTAACTTCCACTGTAGCAAGGTGTCTGCCATTTCATTTTTACGTATCAGGAAACTGAAGCATTTAGTAGAAGTGAACAAGTCACCTTGGCCAAACTAGTAAATAAACAACAACTCGGTTAAATCCTCATCCTCCATGACAAAAAGCAAGTGTGCCCATCTAAGACACCATGTAACATCCATGTGATCAGTTGCTTTCCCTTCACCACACATACAGTAAGTCTGAAATCCTGCCATTGTGAATGTGTCCATACCTCTTAAAGAAGCTAGATCATCCTTTAGTATTTTAGCAAATTGCTCAAAATGACTTTCCAGAAAAAGAGGAAATAAGAAGTCAAGTCAGGTTTTATATTCTTGTGTTGTTTTTCTCCTTGGTACTTCAGTGGCAGTTTTTTCCATGTCTTGTATTAGACTAATCTTATTTATGGCATTATATTACTAATCCTATTTAAGTATTTCTGTTCAGCCAGACACAGAAAACAATGCACACACACAAAAAGAAAAAAATTAAGTGTGGGGATCATCTCAGTTTCAGAACTAAAAGTATTTATGAAACATGGCATACTTATGCTGCTACCTGGGTTCTAAATGCGAGCATCCCAGATCAGCTGAGTGCCTAATGAGAGTCTGACATTGCACCTCTAAAAGAAATGTTCATGCTTTAGTGGAAGCAGTAGTACTGCTCACAAGCTGGTTAGATATTAACCAGTTTGGGCAATATCCCTTCTGAATATTATAACTTCTGAGACCTTATTTCCTGTCTAGGCAATGTCCTAATCTGAAATGAGATCTCTTTTCTGGGTTAAGGGAGATGCTTGATTTGGAAAACTAATTTGGAAATATGTGACTTACAGTGACCTCCCCATTCCTTTTCCAGGGTAAATACAGAATTTACACTGCCACTGTAATTAATCCACAGTAAGATTTCTAGTAATTTCCAGGTTTCTCGTGAAACTCTATTGAATTTTGAGTTTACTTACAGTAGAGAAACTCTGAAATAAGTCTGCCAGAGTCATTTGTGTTAATCCAGGCTTGCATCAATATCAGTGGAAACAAAATCTAAGTTTATATTAAATAAATTGAGAGTTTACATGATCTAGGAGTGTAAAATGTTGCAATTACACTGCTCATATTTGTATTCAGTTTATAGCAGACAGTAACACACATACTCTTTGTTCAAGAGCTCTCCAGTGTGGATTTACGTAGGTAATTTTATCTTAGGTTGTTTGCTATTTGACATAAATCCTTTATTTCTGGAGTAAACCGATAATATAGCTAATCTATTTTTGAAAAGGAGATTTAACCTTCATATTTGTGAAGGAAAGCTGGAAACCCTGAGTCTAGAAAACCCAAAGCATGAATTATTTCTACATAAAATCTCAGGTTTTTATGGGGAAAAAAGGGTTTATTTTCATTTTAGTCTTGGTCTTTCTTGTTGAATGCTTGGTGCTGGTGAGGCAATGTGGGTGTACATATACACACATGGAGGTGTGAATGTGCACTTTTTCTTACACATTGAACCTGAACTGGAGTGTACTGGAGCCTTTCTGAAGCTCAGGACAGTTTTTCCAGGCTGTGTTTCTGGTAGGTTAGTAACTGCCTAGTGCATGGAAAATGGGAATCACAATTTTCTGGGGCCAGACATAGAGGTTCACTATTACCTGGGCAGGGCTCTCACTAACGGGGAGAGAGGGTTGTATTCCACCTAATAAGCTCACAAAAGGCAGAAAGAGACATACCAGGTGATACCAGCATGATCAGTCTGCCATTCACAAGGTATACAGTCCCAGAAATCCACCCAAAATATTGTTTTTGCTTTTGTTATTTCCTTTTTCTAGAAAAAGCAAGTGAGTCAAACAAAGATCCGGGTGATCTCTACCATCCTCTTCATCCTGGCAGGCTGCATTGTCTTTGTGACGATTCCTGCAGTTATCTTCAAACACATCGAGGGATGGACAGCCTTGGAGTCCATCTACTTTGTGGTTGTCACTCTGACTACTGTTGGCTTCGGTGACTTTGTAGCAGGTGAGCAGCTTCGAGCCTAGGTGCTGTGCACGAGGGCCTTGGCTCTTAGAATTTGTTTTCTGGTATAGAGAGGAGGCTTTTCTCAGTGTATGATATTCCAGTGAAATGATGCCAGGTGTTTCTGTTGGGGTTACCGTGCAATAGAACACCATGTTGATTTAAGATCCAGATGCCTTGCCATCTGCAGATTGCAAGCTTTCAGCAGTGTAGGTAACGGAAGCCTGGGAAGTCCAGATTATCCTTCATCGTGCAATGAATTATGCACAAGTCAAATGACTTTCCCATTGAATTCAAGATCTGTATTAGTCCATTAGGGCTCAATCTGAGGCCGACTGCAGAAGCAAGTAGCCAAAATGATGAATGAATGAAGCTTTTACAAAGTAGGGCTGAGCCATAGGTCTGGAGAAATATCTGGTCAGATGCAGTAGTGGGCTGCTACTACAGGAGCTGCGGCATTTCAGAAACTGCATTTTGTTCTCTAACCTTGGTAGAAATTTTGACATTGCAGTTGCCCTGTTAAGGAAAACTCATGCAGGAAGAGAAGGGCTAATGGGGTATGCATCTCGGTGCTAGAAGGATACTCTCCAGGATTAATACAGTACTAGCAGGAACTATAAATATCCATCCTTATCAATTTTCAAAGAGAGAGTCAAGATTATTGGCTGGAGAGATGAGAGATTTTTTTTTTCACACAACTGCTTTGCTGACGAAAAGGTGGTGAAAATAAGTGGAATTTTTTTTCCTATTAGTGCATGACCTCTGCTCCTCATTCCTGTTAGTGGTCCCAATTAAAGGCATTAAGATGCCTGTGTTTCAAACAGCCATATTATGCTACTGTTTTGTTACTTCCTATAAATCAGTGTAATATGAATAAGTTAAAAACATCAAATGAAACTACAGGGATATATAAAGTTTTCTTTGCTGACGAGCTGCAGACAAGTCTTTTTGTAGAGAAGACTCTAATCCTCCTTTTTTATGACATAGTGGTATAGAAAGCATGAATTACTGAGGAAAAAAAGGCAGTGAACAAAGAGAGCCCCAGATATGAAAAAGAAATGTTTTACGAGCATTCAGATACAGAAGTGATTGTATGAGCTTGGTCCATTTTAACCACTTAGATGTGAAGAGAAGCTCACTGGTATTCTGTCTTTGTGGTATCACAGTGTGAAATAAAAATAATACACAATATTTTTCTTAAGCATATCACACTTCAGTATTGTTTTCTTTAATAATATAATAGTAAAAAAGCTCTGAATATTAAATTAAATTATACTATATCCAACATGATTAGGAGAATATAATCCACAGTTGGGTGGCTACTAACAACCAGGATTTTTCAAAAATCAAATGGAGGACCCTAAATGAGAAAACTTCAGAGGCGATCTCATGATAAGAATATAAGGCAGGTGATCACCAGGAGATTTCAGTTTTATTGCTGGTTTTGAGACAGATTTTCTGTCACTTTTATTTTCTGTCACTTTAATCTCTCAGTATCTGTCCCTTCAACATCAAGGTAAAAATACTCATCGTATTGGGTAAAACAGCATCATAGAATCATAGAATCATAGAATAGTTTGGGTTGGAAGGGAGCTCTAAAGGTCATCTAGTCCAACCCCCCTGCCGTGGGCAGGGACATCTTCAACTACAT